GCGTGCGTCAGGTGGTTTTTGAATCGAGTGATGCAAAATTATTGTGGAGGATTCTTGCGAAAAACATATCCTTAATTCACATCTACAGAAATATTTTGCGTATCCATTTTGTCACACATTTTGTTACAAACGGCTCCGCGACCATGACTACTATGGTGGAGATGACCACTAGGCAGACAAGCTTAGGTGGCTATTAGGCGGTGAAGGAATGGGGAGATGCTTGTTATGGAATATTGAACTTCAGTAGCGCATGTCTAAAATTGGCAGATATTCCCTCGAAATACGTCTTCTCCGGTAGAACGAAGGCCCATTTTCGTCGCTCGTTTACAACTACTGTTTATTTCGTGTCTCTCGGAGCGTCAACTGCTTGGAAAACTAGTCACGTAATTGCAGTGCGTCATTCTCGGAAATTAGCGGTGTTTCTTTGCTATTAGCACTTGAGATCCGACGCCGACCTAAATGTCGGGATATCCCCCGCCAATATTTCCACTGTCGGGCACAATTCCACCCGTCACATGTTCTAAGCTCCCGCCTCTTAAGTTTATGCGCAAAATTGGTTTGATGCTTGGGAACACCAGAGATATGAAACCTCAATGGTTGGACGAGGAGTGTTGACTCGGCCCCGGCACGTTCACTGACACCAGCATGCTCAGAAGTCGAACATAGGGGTACGTACGCTCATTCAAAATGGTTTGGGAGTGAATTGCAATACGTCCTTCCTTAAAAAAATTGAAATTTTCTCAAATATTTCCCTATCTTCTTAAGACGCACTGTATCTCACTAAGTGTCTTTTAATAGTATTCAGGTATCCATGCAAAAGATTTCCAGTGTGCGAACTATTGGTTAAAAAAGATCACCCCATCTCTGTATACTTTGTGGCAGTTTTCTAGTCCTTTGAATAGTTAAATATGAAAAACGTCAGTGTAGACTAAAATGAAACTTCATTTTAACAAAACATCATCCTTCGCAAATAAAAAAGCACTAAGGCTACCTCTATTTTGTTCACATTTATTTGAATGTCTGTAAAGCCAATGCCCAAAATATTGCTTCACTGATTAGTTGATTCGCATTTCTAAAGTACTTTGCAATTAGTGTATTTGCATCTGACCAATGATATTACAAAAAGAGAAATTTTAAAACAATCTTTAAAAACTAAAACACTGCCGCACTCGAATATTAGAAATCGATGTCACACGTAATTTAAAACACTCTGAAGGGAAGCAGCATATATGATGTGGACTCACAACTAAAATTCAACTAACCTCTGAAACAAACAACTCATTCACAATAATAAGTACCATCATTACCATACTTTACCTTCATCATTAATAATAACACCTTTAATACGTTTTATGATTCCACTTCTTTGCCAGCTTTCGTGGTTCCTATGAACTTTTTTTATTGTAAGAACTAACTGCGTTACATCTAAACGTTTTTCGCAATTTTTTACACAAACCTCCAATTGAAATCAATTACTTCCGCCGATAGATCACAATGAAACCTACCTCCGCTCTCCCCAGTCTTCTCTCCACGCGAAGTGGATCGCGCGCCCCAAGCACGCTTCGGTTACGAATATCCGCGCGCGTCTATAAACAACTTGCGAAATATCGGCTCCGGGGGCGCGGTATTTTGGGGCAGGCTATTCCTCGAGTCATTCGTCCGGGTCATCATGCTGGCGCCCGCCACGCAGCATCCCATCCAATCCACCATCCCACCACCTCCGGAACACACCACCACACTACAAAACACCATCGGCACACCACCGCTGCGATACCTCACCTCGCCTTGCCGCCACTACCGAAACGCGCGTCGCGGACCGCAGCGCCCGCCGCCGTCATCGATGGCACTATAATTACCGTAGGCTACCGCGTTGCCGAGGGTCCGCGGATCGCACCCCGAGCGGGCTTCCGGCTGCTTCCTCTGCTGCGCGAACGCCTGCGCCACCGCCGCCACCATGCGGCCTGTCCAGCGCGACTGGCTGGCGCGGCGCGCGACGGCGGCGGCCGCCGGTAGCTCGGCGGTGGCGTTGTGGCGGTGGCGGTGGCGTGCCGTGGCGGCGACGGCGGCGGCGGCGTCGGCAGGCGGCGGCGGCGCGGCGGCGGCGGCGGCGGCGGCGGCGCGGCGGCGGGTAGCCGGCGTGGCGGTTGGCGTGGCGGGAGGCGTGCCGGCGACGGCGGCGGCGGCGGCGGCGGCGCGGCGGCTGGCGGCGGCGGCGGCGGCGGGCTGGTGGCGGCGGCGGCGGGTGGCGGCGGCGGTGGCGGCATGGTACCGTGGCGGTGGCCGCCCGGTGGCACGGCACGCCAGCGATGCGTGTCTGGCGGTGGCGGTGCGGTGGGCGGTTGGAGGCGAGGGCGCAGAGGGACGGCGCGGGTTGGGCAGCGGGCGGCCAGCCGGCCCACGTGGCAGCGGCCTGCAATAAGTACTGGCATTTCAGCTGGTCATTAAAGAAAGTCTCACACATTAATGGCTCAGTTTACTACATTCCAATTATGAATGA